ACACTTGTGGTCCTGGATCTATTCTGTGATTTTATCTTGCGTCAAAAATGACGTGCGCGTGTTCGTGATGTTGTTTGCTCGCGCCTGCGTTCAAGGCATTCGAACCTGCGTTCATGCGTGATTAGTCCAGCGTATGCTCCTGGCATATCGCGGCAAATCAAAAATATGAAAAAATATGTCGAAAATAACAAATGAAAAGAATAAGTGGTCCTTAAATTCATGGTAATTGCCACTGAACAAGGCTCAATTGTGAGCCCGCCACAGTTTTCACCCCCCCCCCCTGGTTTCCGCAAAAAATATTTCGGATTTTTGCAGTGAATTCTTGTTGTTTTGTTATTTTCGACATATCTTTCGACGAAAAAATAAAAGAAAAATAAAAGATGAATTGAAATAAAATGAAAAGAAAATAACAAATGAAAATAACAAATGAAAAGAAACAAAAGATGAATTGCGGTTCATCGTATGGAAACAAATCATAAAATTGATTGGGAGGGAGCCACTTGTATGGAGTTTAATAGTTTTGAGGATGAGAGAATGTTCTTAGAAAGCTGGTTTACAAAATGCGATGAAAACAGCATTAACATTTGCCGCGATATGCCAGGAGCATACGCTGGACTAATCACGCATGAACGCAGGCTCGAATGCCTTGAACGCAGGCGCGAGCGAACAACATCACGAACACGCGCACGTCATTTTTGACGCAAGATAAAATTATTATAACTGTAAAATTTTTTGTAACTGTAATACGTCTTTGATAATGGCCGCCGTGTAGGTAGCCGAAACGTCAGAAATAATTAAAGAAATTTAATCTGGATGATCGTACAATAAACTAAATTAATATATTAAATTACAGACTATTTTGCCTAACCGTATTTGCTACCTCACAGCTCACACGAAATCGTTCATATAGAAACATGATCAGTGATCACAGGCAATGTCTTATTACCGGAATATTGGTCAGGTTTCAATCGAAGCGATCACGAGAATTATGCCCTTTTTTCTGGTATTATGCCCTTATATTATGCCCTTTATTATGCTTCACGAATCACGAGAGCGGCGCAAATTAGATAGTTGAAGTTATGATAACTGATGTAAAGTTGTGTACGCGATTTACTGGTTGTTTGCACAAGAAGCATGTGTAATGTAAGTAATGAAATAATGCTGAAACATGCCCTTTTGGCTGCCAGGCAAAGAAACCTTAAAATACATGTGCGTGGGGTGCTTGTGTTATTGTATAAAAGAGCTTTAAGTTGTCAATGTGCTCAGAACAGTAGATCAGTAGAGAACAGAATTGGGATTAGATTAATCGCTGGAAGTAGTTAGCATTGCATAATTTAAGTACTACTCATAAATTCTAACCAAATTGCAAATTTCGACACGTTATAATGCCGTTTCCTGACCATCAGATTTCTGTCAAATCTTCCCCCAAAGTCCAGGAAATGGCATTTCAGAGACTCTAAATTCAAAAATTTTCCTGGGGGGCATGCCCCCGGACCCCCCTAGACAAACCTCGCACCTGCGGCACTCGGCTCGTGCCTTCGCCCCTCGTTTATCAAGTGTAACATTATAGGGGCGCATATGGCTGACAGCCCACTGGCCCCTCCAGAAAAATAGTACCCAGCACGCCACTGATAGACTTGCCACGCTGACTTCGGCATAACTATCAGACTGTCAACTGTCTTCCAAATTGAATGTTTATGCCGAAGACATTCAACGGCTTAACTGTCCAAGTTGAAGACATTCAACGGCATAACCATCCAAGATGAAAGTTTATGCCGAGGACAGTCAACTGTCTTCGAATTCCTTATAACCATCCGACTGTCAACTGTCTTCCAAGTTGAATGGTTATGTCGAAGATATTCGACGGCATAACTATCCAAGTTTAATTGAAGACATTCCACGGAATAACCATCCAAGTTGAATGGTCATGCCGATGACATTCAACGGGATAACCATCCAATATTCTAAGGCGTTTCCATCCGATTACAAGTTGACTTGTAGTACCGGTAGTATTAAAAGTATATACGGGCAACTTTTCAATTCACGAAGTACAAAAGGATTTTTGAATCTTTCTGAATTCAGTGTTTAAAATGTGTTTGTGGAGGGGGTGGTCAAGTGCCACCGTGCGGTTTATGCGCGATATACCAAGTCACGGGTGACGTGTTTATGCGCGATATACCAAGTGACGGGTGACGTCACAAGTAATATAATTTCGTCTTGTTCTTTGTTTTTTAACTAATAGTTTTAGTTACCTACTGTATTTCTTTTGGATCTTCAGGCTTTTTGGCTGGTGCATTTGGATCGTTTCTTTTTTGTATATCATTTGGATCGTTTCCTTTTTGTAGATCATTTGGATCGTTTCCTTTTTGTAGATCATTTGGATCATTTGTTTTTGTAGATCATTTGGATCATTTGCTTTTGTAGATCATTTGGATCATTTGCTTTTTGTGAATCATTTGGATCGTTTGTTTTTTGTGGATCATTTGGATCATTTGCTTTTTGTGGATCCTTTGGATCATTTGCTTTTTGTAGATCATTTGGATCATTTGCTTTTTGTGGATCATTCGGATCATTTGCTTTTTGTGGATCATTTGGATCATTTGCTTTTTGTGTATCATTTGGATATGCCACGGGCCTCGCGAAACGTTCGTCCAGCTCTGGATCCCTCTGAGCGCCTAGTCCCCTGGTGTTTTCTCACAGTACGGCCACAGAATTCAATATGGGGCATCGTAATCTTAATTCAGTCAAAGAAAGGGAACGCGGGTATTGGGGGGGGGGGCAAAAATTTAAAATTCTAAAAAAGAGCGAGTTGAGACCAAATCTCCAAATCGTTTATGGCTGTGAAGTATCCCGTTTTCTATTTTTACCAAGCATTTTTACCTCAATTTTTTCAAAAACACATTTTTGAGATCGCCCCGAAATAATGCTGATATCAGCAATTTTGATCTTATCAAGATGAATTAATCGTTTGAAATCAGGGAATGCTGTTAGTAATGACATGCAAAACATATAAAACACCAGCCTCGTACCCAGGCACAAATAACGTACTAAAAATAGCAACACTACCGTGTTTCACCCCCGCGTGCTCGCTCGTCTTAGCCACCGATCTATATAAAAACACTGTAGTGTTGCTATTTTTAGTACGTTATTTGCGCCTGGGTACGAGGCTGATAAAACACCCAGTTTTGTGACTCTTGTTTAAAATTTCGCTAGTTTCAACGACGTCCCTGATGGCACGCGTACACGTGCAATAGTTTTTGTACTATTGCACGGTAACAAAATAGAAAGTTAATTACTTATCACGTGATCATAATCAGCCAATTAAATGACCACAATTTAATGAGGTGTTACATAAAGTGTGATATAGCATTTATTTATGCGATTCGTTAAATAAGTGCTAAATAATTGCTAGAATAAGTTCTTTGTATGTTTGCATGGTGATAAAACATATAATACTTTTTGTTTGTGGACACACTCCGTAAAGTAATAAATTTACGTGATGTTTCCACAAACAAAAAGTATTAATTGCTAGAATATTGTCCTACATTGAGAAATAAAATTCATTTACCTTAACTGGACACTTTAAGACACTCTGTGTCTCATGCCTTGAGCTAGATATTAAACAAAAACGTGTTCAAATCACATCTAAACTAACACATAGCAAGTTCTGATATTATCGAATGGTGGATGACAGGCACGTTAAATTACATATTAAATATAGATGATCATCAATACTGAGAAGACAACTACATAAATACATACAGGCGAGAGCCCATTTTGAACTGCTCATGCAGAAGATTTTATTGAATTTCAAAATATATTAAAGAAATAATACGATTACACTTTCCTCGGTCAGATAATAAATTATACGCAGTTTGTATAAAATTGCAAATCAATGATGAATTATTTTCTCTTCTATTTCTTAGGATTCTATGAAAAGGAAAAATATCCGTTGTAAGTTGAAACAATTCACGAAACTGGAAATTAGAAGAGAACTGCATGGGAATAAATGCGGAATGTTTAAAAAAAGGCAATCTATTTTTTATCTCAAAAATATACATTTGATGGACAGACTTTTTAATCAGCACGTTGAGTCTAGACCATGCATGGTATATATACTGATCAAATTCGCCTTGTCGATTGTCGAGTAGAGAAGACCAAATTTTATCCTAATTAAATGACAGTAATACATTATAATAACACATTATCACATATACAAATCTCTTGAGATGGGGGGAAGCACCTGGATAGGTAGACAAATACATTTTGTATAACTGCACTGAAAATAAACATGAGATAGTTATGCCGGCTTGCACACAGACATTCAAATTCTGATCGAGCACAGGAGAGAATGCAAGTAATGTATTTAGGTTTAGTGGTATGTTTTATTTTTCCATCTCTGCACAGCTGCTTCATTGCAGGAACCGCATCACTGCATGCTACCCTGGTTCCGCAACTATATTCGACATATATCATGCAGCCGCTCGTGTTTAAAAGTGTTGTTATTTGTTATTACACTTTTAGTATCGGGCGAGAGACTGGCGTTAATGTATTTCCAGCAACTAAGATCAATCTTTGAATTTGAAAAACAGATTAACTCTTACCTTGGTAATTGACCAAATGTAGCCAACATTGTCTTTGGTAAGTCCCAATGTTGTTACATATTCGGGACCAATATCGTAAATATCATACGAGATCGAAACATCTTCAGATTGAGGACCAAGTTGCATGTCACACCAACTACTGCCTGAAGCACATCCCCACTTGCTTCTGATCCTATACACGAGCAAGATAGATTATTTCTATTTTATTTTTACTTAAAGGGAAATGGCAATATGAATTTTTATTTTCTCACTTGAAAGAACCTTTTTCTTTTACCGACTATTCACATCTTCCTTATAGTTCTTGAAACATTTTCACTTGAAGTAATGAGATGTCCGCCATCTTGGATTCATTTTTGATCTCATTAACGGTAGCACAGAATAAGGACATAGGACGGTAGTTTTTGTGACGTAACAACAGGGATTACAGTAACCATATTGAAGTATTCGTTGCTGACCAAATATTGATTGGTAGATGTTTTAAAGGTTTTGAGTGATCTTGATATTTCGAAAGGCAGACAGAGTATAGTTTTGAGTGCAAAATGATTAGTGGTTGTTTAGATAAAAATATTGCGTGACCCCTGTTGTGACGTGACATGCATATCTGCAAAAATTGAAGATGGCGGACATTTCATTCCTATCGATCAAAATATTTGTAGAAGTAAGCAAGATATAAAAAAAGTAAAAGAGTTTTATTTTTAGTCTCAAAAGTTCTTTCAAATAAGAAATTGTCATTTCCCTTTAAAGATTTGCCCCAAGCTATTACTAAGTCGCGTACTAGTTAAAATACCCTCATTAATATACCGTAGAAGAATTGCGAAATAAATAATATTAACATGTCGTTAAAAGAATCGAAAAGAAAACGAGTCGCGTGCTTTTTTGAATTGTAATACGCGAAGGGAATGTTGGGATAAGACAATTAGAGATTAGTATAAATCCGCCTTTAAATGCGGACGTTCAAGCATAAAGTTTAAATTCAGACTAAGAAACAGCCGCGAGAGGCTCTCTTATGACTGTGTTAAGCCGGTTTTCCACTAGCGAATTGTTTCTCGCGAAGCGACCTTTTTCCTTTGTCGGCATCACTTATTACGTCAGCAAGACGTGGCAAAATGGATGCCGACAAAGGAAAAAGGTCGCTTCGCGCGAAAAAACTCGCTAGTGGAAAACCGGCTTTAATGCCACAATTATAGCGAAATCCATAAACTCCGTTAAAGGTGGCGGCTACATACACTTTTTAAAAATAGGTACGCAGCGCGTACATGTGACTATCGCTGCTTAGGCAGCTACGGAGATTCTGTTTTTTAATTCAATTTGAAGAAATGTAATGGCGATTCTTTATATATATATATACACGCTATGAACGAGAAAAACGTACGGAATTTCGTAAGAGTAAAGAAGATTAAAATATGCCTACAGTATACAAAATACTGTGTGTTTTGTGAATGTACTCGATAACTGGATTCTTGCTTCGTGAAGTCATACTGCGGTGAAAAATATCATCTTACTAAATTCAGCAAGGCTTATAAGGTTTGGTCATTTTATACCATGCAAGCACGTTTCACCACTTGCAAATAAATGCCAAGCTATTGGTTATCGAAAAATGCGCGCCTAAACCTATTAAGTCTATTAAGTGCTGGTATATTCGGTAGACATATTGTTTTCCTTTACATATTGTGGGATCTCGACTGAGAACGTATAACCTTAAGACAAAGACACACTTTACAGTATATTTGGCTTCATGATTGTGAGAAAAACATATAAACATTTGAGAGAAAGAAAACAAAAGAAATGTAATGAGGTAATGAGGTGTGAGACGTAGCTCATCAGCACATGCAGGTATAAAGCCTTAAGGCGGATTTCCAGTCCTCGCACGAAGCTCCTCGCAGCTCGCTGCGAGTGATGCATGAGCACTTTCATCCAATCACAATGCTAAACAGTTCATTTTAATTAGATGCAAGCACTCGCAGCGAACTGCGAGGAGCTTCGTGCGAGGACTGGAAATCCGCCTTAAGGCCCATTTCAATTAAATACAATATACTGTAGACTTTGAGGAATTTTAGCTAATTATCTTGTCGACACGGCAGTTGCGCGACGTTTGAAACGGGCCTGATTTCCATATGTTGTAATCCGTCATATATCACAATGCATGATCCATGTGCAATGGAGAGAATAATGTTCTTTTCTGTCTGTTTTTGCATATCTAACCTTCAATTATATGGACCGCTCTAGGCTAGTCTTGCTAACTCGGATGATGCTTGTCACGAATATATTTTCTTCGCATCGGAAATGGATATGACGGCGATTAGCTTCAAGACAACTTTATAGAACTAATGTTTCGGAATATTACCTTCAAAGTTTAAGCCGCGGCCAGTATATTTTGATATCATGCTTAGTTAATGACCACGCGATCGTTATTACAACGAAAGAATAAGAATACTCTGCGTCTAACAGATAAACGAAGATGATTTACCGTATCACCAACAATTCGTTAAACAGTACGAATATGTTTTAAATATTTTTACGGGAACTAACACTTTCGAACACGCTGAGTTCAAATCCGAAAAGTTCGCGCTCCCCCGCTAATAGTCGTAAATCAACTAACATTTTTTTGTATGGAGCCACCTTAATTAAGCAAACGTTCTTTTTATACTGACTTATATTTGAGCGCCTGAAAATATGATACACTTCAAACACTTCAGAATTGAAACACCTCAAGTGAATAGGCTAAAAATCCGCAACACATACTGCCTTGCAAAACACGTTGGAATTTTGATTTCTATAATAATAAACTGCGAATGAGAGTTAAAATCAAGCAACTGCATGTTGCAACGAAAAATTAAGTTTTTATTTTTATTTTTATTTAGCTTAGCCAACTGGGGCAGGGTCACCACAACAGCATATGCCAATTACTGTGAGCCTTTTTATCTAACCCATCCTGTCAACTTTCCCTGTGGGAGGAAACCGGAGTACCAGAAGAAAACCCACGGCTTTCGGCAGAGCGTTGACTTTTGCTCTTTTCACGTGAGGACTGGGTTCGAATCGCATTGAGAAAGTTCTCACTGAGGCTTGAACCTGCGGCCTTAGAGGTGAGAGGCGAGTGCGCGCTAACCGCTTCGCCGCCGAAGTTCGGTATCTGAGCTTATTTCCAATCACCGACATCAAGCTAATGCGCTACTTTCCAACCAACCAAATGACCCCTATTAAAAACAATACATCACATACAGTACTATGACAAGAAAATGATTTAACAAACCTTTTCTGGTATGATCCATATATTTCCCACAAATCAGGATAAGGTTCAACTGTTGCTCGATTCGCATAATCTGACCCTGTTCCATCAGTACTCAGATATTGCCCACAATGGTCATACTTTGGACAACCATATACGTTCTGTATTGTATACAGATATTTACCATGCGGAATCAGCTTCCAAAAACAACCATCATTCTTAAGTGTGATGTATGGATTACCATGAAGCTTAAGACTAGCGTGGTCTCTCGCCCAAGACATCGAAGTCAGTGGTTTACCTCTAATGTGTGGGGTTATGCACCATATACCAGCAAGAGTTCGGTCATAGTTGGGGACCTTAAGTGTCGTCATGGCATATGCATCGATAAACGGATAAATATCAGGGTCAAAGTAACGTATTATTTGGCTGCCAACGTCGCTTTCATAAAGGAATTTAACGAGATGTTTCTGGGATGCACGCAATCCAGCTTGTACGTCTATCAAAGCGTTACGGTTAGGGGCGAGTTCGTCAGGCATTAGTGCAGCCATTTGTTGTAAAATCATATCCTTAAATACGGCCAATTTGAAGTAAAGTTCAATATAACGAAGAACCTTCAATTTAGAAATAAATAAGAATGTTATACAGTATAAAGCAATACCATGATTAGGCTATATGATCATTTTATAGATGACGCTACTCCATCGACATTTATATATACTGATTGCTCATTCTATTTTAACTGATGACACCAGTTTTTCATACAGGGTGTCGTTCTCGTGTGGAAATTCCCTGAGCGAATGCCTTTATAAAATGTGTTTGTATCATATACGTTAAAAAACCTGTTTTTTTAAATTTTGAGACAAAACAGATCGTCACATCTTTGCAGAAAATACTTCAGTTACTCATTATGGTCGCAAAGACGCAGTTTTCACTGAAACAAGCTAAAACAAAAATGTAATTCGCTTATAAACAATAGCAAAATATATGTGGTCTGCCATATTGTGGTCTACCATATAATGCATGTAAGTGTATAAGGTATAAACACGCCATTCTTACCTTCTTAGCATATTTCCCGCCTTTATTTTCCTTTACAAGATCTGGTATTTCAATAGCCAATGTCTTCAGCATGGGTACACCTTGCCACAGAGGTACGGAAACTTGCAGAGAAAGAGTCTGATCAGCAGTTAGTTTCTTCCCACGTCGAGATAGGCTATCGACATATCTCTTGGATACTTCAAACAAACCGATGGTTGCTGTATGACAATGAGTATAAGATGCATCATTTAAAGATTTAAACACATGCATGATATATTGATATCGATTGAAATGTTAAAGAATTGGAACGACAACGATTTCTTTTTCGTTATATACTGAATGTCACGCGTGCATTGTTGTCACTATAGGAATCAGTGGCGGCGCCAGGCTTCCAAATTTGGGGGGGGCATTTGAGGGGCAAACTCAAATTTGGGGGGGCAAGATAGAATTTTTAAAAAGGTCGCCCCCCCCAGGAAATTCCCCCCCCCCCTCAAAACGTGGCGATATTCCTAGGAATATCGCTCCCGGGGGTGAATATCCTAGGAATATCGCCTCCCAGGGGGGTGGGGCGAATGCCCTAGGAATATCGCCCCTCTTTAGGACATTCGCCCCCCATATATGCGATGTGGTTTATTCAAATAATTTCGTGATACTTTCATCTTATTATTGCCTTATACGTTTGAGAATTTAACTCTGCAAAACTAAAGCTTTTTTGTCTTTTTTTGAAACGTATTATTGGAGTATTGGCAAGTTTTACCATTCAGAGATTTACAAACTAATATTGGAACTGTAAAAACAGTTTCATGTATACGCGCATTCACTAATGAGTAATGACAACTTATAAACCATACATTTTCCGATAACGACTCTTTTCCGATAACGACTCGCTCTTAGTGACTAATAATTTTTTTTGAGGGGGGGAAAAATGGGGGGGCAAAAAATAATTTGGGGGGGCATTTGCCCCCCCCCCCTGGCGCCGCCACTGATAGGAATTTATAAGAACTGCTCCAGTATATAATTATCTGAACTATACTCGTGGCAAAAATCTGTTGGTTGTCTCAAAAATTAAGAAGACACCGCGTGCATGGTTGGCGAAGCTTTATTGAGGGGATCTGCTCCTGAGCTATATGGAATAACTTACCCGATTTGTAAGCTTTATAGACTAATTGAAAAACAAATTTTCAAACAAACATTAGGGACTAACTTTTTAAGCTCTCTTATTTGCAAATTAGGAAATTTGGTTTTACTATAGATTTATATAACTTTTAATCTTGCGTGTAAAGCGCTTTAGAGTTTGGTTGATTTAGCGATATATAAATCTTATTTTAATATTATTATTTAGCAATTATTCGCCGAAGGCGAGGTGATTATCGAACCTGAGGTGACTAATTGTTTTAGTATAATTTCACAGGCGATTATTTGGAAAAAAAATAAAAAATACACATTTCTTCGTCATTCATCGACAAGACGGCTCTTCGGTCGCCATTTCAAATTAGAAATCGCTTACGAATAGGTGATTATCGCGTTATAATCACCTTACGGGCAACCAATCAGTGTGGAGAATTATCAATAATCACTTATGTAATTATACTAAATATTATTATTACCTTTATATGCGCCTGCACAAACTTTAAACCTTTCAGGTGGAACTGATAGTTACAATGACTACTTTTTTACAACGATGACTTCAAAAACAACTGACTTTTTCGAACATTTTAAAGGCACAGTTCAGCCTTTTGAACGATGGTTTTTAAGGCACATTTGAGCCCTTTTAATTGAAAAAACTAACTAGGAAAATCAATTAAGCATAATTCAAAATCATGCAGTAAACTCGATGTTTTTAACAATATAAATGTTTTAAAATGTTAAAAACATTAAGTTTGGTGATCTTGAATTATGCTTAATTGATTTCCTAGTTAGTTTTTTCAATTAAAAGGGATGAAATGCGCCTTAAAAACCATCGTTCAACAGGCTTTAAAGTTAATAAAATGAATAAAGCCCCTCGTACGCACTGAAGCCCCATGCAGCATATAACACAAATAGAAGCTATTGAAACTATTTTAAGTTACGCTAAATAGGTATCGTTTTGTCTTCAGCTCAAGCGATTTTCAGAGTGAACGAATATAACCAAAATTAAACGTTATTACTATATTTTTGTAAAACGTTGCAAGCATATTTCTATGCGTATCCAGTCTGGACAATCAATTGTAACTATTTTGTCTGACCGCCCCATTTCCACATACAAGCAGTTCAATTTAATTAAAATGACATGCACAGCTGACGTGTTGTCAACATTAGCTTGAACTACATAGGTCAGGGGGCAGGTCATTAATATATTAATGAGGTATGGACTAATAGCGGCTGCTTAAAGCGCCATTTGTAAGCTCACAGTCTACCTCGGTCTGCTCTAATGTAACCAGTCACTGAAAAACCCTGATAAGGGAGTGTGCTGAGTAATATATGTATGTATGTATATGCTTTCGCACGAAAGGAAATCCGATATAGCTTTGTCGCTTTCGGATCGGAGAGAATTAATTTAAAATATTTACTTCAAGACCTGGAGTATTAAACTAACGAACATGCATTGTCGCGGAAATAATATTAATTTAAAACTATCACTATCGTTTTTCAGTTTGCGCATTCTGGAAATACAGTAAATGTCTTAGGAAGCAGAAACATTTTTTCAAACAGATTTGTTTTCAGACGTGTCTCACTGTTGTTGCATCAAAATGAAATGCTTCCTGGTTTGCCCATGCTCGGGAAAATGACTACGAAGCACTGTTTTTGCGACAATTGGCCCATGGACTAAATATTACCTTTGGCATCTTTGATAAGTTTTTGGTCATGATATTTTTCAAACGCTGCTTGAATCTCCTCACGGACAATTTCACCAACCGTTTTCTTCTTCTTTTGTCCAACTCCAAACAGACTCAGAAATCCAGACACAAACGACAATGCTATATAGATGAACTGAAGTGAGTGAAATTTAAAATAACCAGAGATAGGTATAATGTTCTCTTATTTAATAGACTTCTTGATATCTTGGCTACATGTAAACAACTGAATATATAATGTCCATATTCTAAATATAAACTAATCGTAATACGTGCGTTAATGATTAATAGGCGTACATTACTATACCATTCCCTTTGTTTTAACTTGATTGTCAAATATCAAAGTGTTTAAATTTGAAGTTACTTAGCTATTTCGTTGTTATGTTAGTTTATTAGATTTGATGGACATTCATGTCCGTATCGATTCGGCGTTCTTCGAATTCGGCTTGATCTTCTTGGTACTTCGTTGTTTTCATTACCGATGGATGGCTGATTGTCCTGCGAATTTTCTTGGATCGTTGGATGGCTGATTGTCCTGCGAATTTTCGTGGTTTATTTATTCGCTTGAAATGCGACACGTTCCGTTTCACAATATGACCATTTTTACTTTGGGCAAGTATCTCTGAACCAGTTTTCTTCATCACTTTATATGGTTTGTGATTAAAATTCGCAGTTAGCTTGTTTTTCTTTTCTTGTCTAACCAGTACAGTGTTACTCCTTTGATTTGCATATTCTCGGTTGCGTTCTTGTCGTGTTTTCTCATTGTCTCGAGCTTCTTTATGTCGATTGACAATCTTCTTGCTGTTTATAACTGGTAATTTTCCTTTTATCACTCGGTTAATTTAAACAACAGTTCTGATGGAGGTACTCCTGTAGTGCAATGTGGAGTGGTACGATATTGTAAAAGAAAACGGTTCAATTCTTGTTTCCATGGTCGTCCTTCGAGTGTCGCTGTCTTGAGCGCTTTTCCTAACGGTCGCATAAATCGTTCAACTGTAGCATTACCTTGGGGCCAGTAGGGTGTTGAAAACTTAGCTTGAATACCAAGGGCTTTCAGATATCGTGCATATTCGTCTCCGTTAAAAGGGGAACCATTGTCAAATATAATGGTGTCAGGAATGCCATGGACTGAGAACATTTTGTCAAGTTTTGGAATGACTGTTGAGGCTCGTGTTGAATGAACGATCTCAACCTCTGGGAATCTGGAGTATCTATCTACCGCCACTAACAGATATTCAGACGATGGTAGTGGACCATAAAAATCTATGTGGACAGTTCTCCATGGTAACTCTGGCATTTCGGTCGTATGTAATGGTTCTGGAGGATTCGCCTGTCCGACAGCTTGCTAAGTGGTGCACTTAGCAATTGTGTTTTTGACTCGGTTGTCAATTTGCGGAAACCAGATTTTTTCACGAATTAGGGACTTCGTTTTCTCTATTCCTAAGTGTGTCTCATGTGCTATATCTATTGCACGTTGTTGTAGAGCTGCAGGAATGACAATCCGTGTTCCTCAAAGTATAACACCGTGTGTGGTTGACGTAAGTTCGTTTTTTACGGCTTTGAACGGTTTTACAATTGGGGAATCCCATTTGTTTGTTTTAATTGCATCATGGAGTGCCGTTAGTGCCGCGTCTGCGTTAGTTGCATTGATTATTTCTTGTAATGTCATCGCCTTAGGGACACTATTCTGAGTTATAAAATTAATATATTGTTCCGTCATCTTCTCCTGTTTTCGTCTTGTTTGGATGACGAGAAAGATAGTCCGCAGGGTTGCTGGCACCTGATTTATAAATTATCTTAAATATATATGGTTGGAGGCGAAGCACCCATCTTTCAATTCGTGCTGATGTTTTGGCTGTACGTTGGCCAAAAAATAATTTCTAAAGGTTTATGGTCAGGTATTAGTGTAAATTCACTTCCATACAGAAATAAATGGAAATGTTCAACTGCCCATACTATCGCTAACGCTTCTTTTTCCGTCTGGGAGTATCTCTTTTCTGTATCAGTCAGCGCTCGGCTGGCATATGCAATTATCTGTTGACTGTCTACGTCACCGTTTCTTGGTTTCTGAGAAAATATTCCAGAAATTTCTACAGGACTAGCATCAACTGTCACAAAAGTTTGTTTGTTTTTGTCGAAATATGACATACATGGAGCAATTGCAAGCGTGTTTTTCAGCTTTTCAAAAGCAGTTTGGTGTGTTTGAGTCCACTCAAAACGAACATCCTTTTTCGTCAGGTCACGAAGGGGAGCAGTTAGTGTTGCAAAATCTCGAATGTAATTACTACTATAGTTGGCCATGCCAAGAAAGCTCCTGACTTCATGTGCATTATTTGGCTGAGGTGCATTTAATAGATCAGCTACTCTCCTATAGGATCAGGATGAGTACCTTCTTTCGAAAAGACCTGTCCGAAAAATGACAATGTAGTACTAAGGAAATTACACTTGCTTCGGTTTAGTCGTAAGCCCTTCATTGCAAGTCTTTGTAGACATTTGTCAAGATTAGCGTCATGTTCAGTTCTTGTTGAGCCGAATACAATGATATCATCAGCTATGATGTTCTTGACGCCTTTAAGCCCTTGCAGTGCAGTTTGGAGTGTGTACTGAAATATCTCCGCTGCAGCGTTTGTACCATAGTTTAGTCTTTTGTAGCGATACAAACCTACATGAGTGCTAAAGGTTGTTATATAACGAGACTGTTCATCCAGTTCTAACTGATGATACGCTTGGCTCAAATCAAGTTTCGAGAAAAATTTTACTCCATTCAGGGCAAAACTAACATCATTTACTGTTGGTATAGGATGGCGTACCGGAAAAAACTTTAGAATGCTTTTGAAGGATGTTTTCTAGTGCGGCATCCTTTGATGTCAGTTTGTCTAGATGCAAACTAATAAGTCCGAGTTCTTGTGCAGTAGAAAGAGAAAGTAAGTTTCCACAGTTCGCAGCTTTAGCGACATAGAATGTGGCTACATATATTCGTTTTCGTGTTTCGATTACCGCTTCGAATTTTCCCCAAAATTCAACTGCTGACTTCGTATTATACGCGAAAGCTTTCGTGTTCGTGCGAGTTAATTTTATGTCTTGCATTTTGTTAAAAGTGTCACGATCGATCACATTTATGTCGCGCCACTGTCAATTGTTGTTTGAAATTTGGTACCGCCTACTTTACAGTGAAAATACAAAAAGTGTCCCACTTCCGCTTCTGTAGTTTGTTGTGATTTACTGTAATTTGTTCTGTTTTTCTGTAGCGATTACCGATTTATCGGCAAATACCGCGATAAAACTTAGTTTTTTCTATTTTTAAATAAGATAATTTGTAGCAAAGGGAAACAATACATTTTTCGTTAGTTTCATTGCAAAAAAGGAACGAAATTTAAATTTTATCGCAGTATTTGCCGATAAATCGGTAATCGCTACAGAAAAACAGAACAAATTACAGTAAATCACAACAAATTACAGAAGCGGAAGTGGGACACTTTTTGTATTTTCACTGTAACATTGACCTTGTTATTGTGCTTTGTCATATGGCTTTGTATTTGTCATGGTATATAAATAGTCTTCATCGGAACTCGAGTTTGATCCAGTATCTAATGTTTTTAAATTTCTTTGTGCATGCTTTTTGTTTGAGTATCTCGGTGATCGCGTTTGTTTTTGTTTTCCTCGACAAACAGCAGCGAAACGATTCGGTTTTCCACAATTATTACAGGTTTTCCCTTTGGCTGGACATGCTCCTGTGTGTGGATAAGCACGCCCACAATTTCTGCAAATAACATTACTACTGTTCGAAATATTACCGTTATTAGGTTTTTGTTCTAATTTATTAGCCTCACCGTCAGTTTGTTCTTTAGATTCGATTTGTTTAGCTTGGTACTTGCTCTGTTCGTCACCCCGTCCTTCTAAAAGCATTTATTTTAAGTCAAATGTAGGATCACGCGGTCCTCCCTTTCGTATTTTTGATGAATTTCCGCCTATAATGATTTGTTCTTCGATTTCAAATTCAACGTCTGCGAATTCACAGGTTTCTGATATTGTTCTAAGTTTGGTGTGAAATTGATCCAATGTCTCATTGTGTTCTTGAGTTGTTTGTCGAAAACAATAAACTTCGTACCGCCGATTCTTTTGAGGGTCGAAGTAAGCCTTTAATTTCTGTTTCGCGATATTGTAGTCCGTATCAGTTCCGGTCTCGGGGATTTGTTTAAAAATCTCGCGAACTCTCGGTCCAGCTTGATATAGCAAGAGTGCACGTTTTCGCTTTGGATCCGTTATTCCACTTGCGGTTATATACATTTCGAAGTCTGACTGCCAATTGTTCCATCTTGTCGAAAGGCTTGTTCCGATTTTTGCATCTGGGCAAAATTCTGGCATTGGAGTTATTGTTACAGATTGCATGATCTGTACAGCCGGTTGCTGCAGTGGTTGAGACTCTGCCTGCTCTTCCACCATCGTTTCGTTTAATAGAATACGTTTATCTTCGTCGCCATTATAATGTTCTCTTATTTAATAGACTTCTTGATATCTCGGCTACATGTGAACAACTGAATATATAATGTCCATATTCTAAATATAAACTAATCGTAATACGTGCGTTAATGATTAATAGACGTACATTACTATAATAGGTGTCAAAAATCACCTCACGCCTGCATGTAGTTACTTTAACGGGTTTAAAAAGGAAAACGCGTTGTCTTTTTAAAAGTATATCCTGTTTCTATACGCTATCCACTTCTATCCGCTACTATACTTCCGCTACTGACTATAACCGAAACTCGCGCTACTTTATCCGTGCCGGTATCCGCCCTGATTACAGTTTAAAATGTATAATTTAGCAAGCTTCCTGAAGAACCTTGCATGTATTTTTTATTTATTATCTTTTATTCAGCCTTATCGTGGAGTAAATGGTTATGAAACGACAATTACCTACAGTATAATATGATATTGAGACAATCGTGTCAATTATTTTTATTGTATGAGTATTATCATAATTCACGTAATGATTGTTTGTTGGATTAATTAATACCTACCAATAGAAGCCAGTTCTCCCATTGGCCCAGTCAAAGACGCAAATTGTGCTACCATAGCCAAAGCTGCCATCATAGCTCCCTCGGGATCAGCACCAGCATTTGCAAACTTGCCAATATTTGAAGCAGCTGACTGCAACGCAGCCACAAACACTGATCTATCACCAAATTCTCCTCTTTTTTCCCAGTTTTCTTTCAGTTTTTTAAGACCTCCCTTGGCTGTATTCGCCTTGTCTCCAATCTGGTTGAAATTGTCAGATAGCTTCGTGTACGCTAACATGGGAACTAAAATTTAAGAAAACTTATCACTGTTGCTTATATAGCTCATAGAGGATTGAAGCTTATATAGAGGATTGATTTTCTTTCACCACTGCAGTGATTTACGAATTTATTGAGATATGGACTCCCTCATTAACATATTACAGGGTGTATTAAAAAGTAGACAATTTTGAAACGGCTCTCAATTTCACAAATTTTATGAAAATTTTGATAAATATTGATTGTTTGGGTACTTAATTTGCGTATTGTTATTGTAAAAAAAGTAAAATAACAATATGCATGCAAATTATGCAAATGCATGAATTAAGCATATGTGACAGGCATTGCCATTAGTGCCAAAAAATGAAAGTTTCAGCAGCTATTTAAAGGACTTAAAATTGAGTACATTTTCTAATATTTGGACAATTTATAAAACACATAACAAATTTCTCAACAAAGTTATTTTTAATGCTGCTAAAAAAGCCCCCCCCCCGCTCTGGAAAATTTATCTTTACGAAAAAAATTTGTTTATTCTACATTATAAGTACCCAGACAATCTATATTTATCAAAAAATTCATGAAATGAACGGATTTGTGAAATTGATGACCGTTTCAAAATACTCTACTTTTTCAGTTAAACACCCTGTTTATAGGATGTGTGTGAACGTTATTCGGGTTATACCTGGGAGTCCCAAGAAGCTGAAAATCTAGAAAGGATTTGCACTCAACCAGGTGTTAATTCATTATTTATAAATAAATGTATTAAATGCATACATACATTTCTCTTTCTCATTTTCGGCATTGTAAAATTCCTCGCCAAGTCGTGTTTTCTTGTGGCTATGATGTTTTGGTTTCTTTCCTTGCTTCTTAGCAGCCTTCGCCTTTTTTGCCTTGAAAAATGTAGGTACTGTAGGAACATTGGAAAAATAGTGAAATTCATGCTATGGAATTTGCGATTGGATCACCAAATCCATAATATTTCCATACTACAGGATGTCTCAAAAAAAAGGAAACCTTTATAAATTCACCTTATTGTTATAATTTGAATTCCTGCATGAGTACTATACTCAACCCATGGGTGCGTAAACACAATTGAATCGAAATTTATGCATGGATGTTATTTAGTTTCGTTTAACATACAGTGTGTATAAAAAAAAACTGAACCTTTAATTCAAATTAGCTATAACGTATTGTAGTAATTTGACAGCTCTAATTGCTTTGAATAAATGGTTGGATAAGAACACAAGGTCTTGTACTCACGGGACAAAACTCAAAGAAATAAAAGTTAGAAAATTTAAAAGAAATACTGTATTTCGCAAGGTAACATTACCCACACTGATATCGGAAAAATAAAAACGAGTCCCAGGACAATGTTGGTGGAAATTTGGGTCATCACCCAAATTATTATAGAGTTGATCAGTCAGACTCAGCCGGCTAAGTTTATTCCTGATTCGTAAAAAATCATTAAAAGATTCAGCAATAACTTTATCATCATGAAACAAGTGTATCATTAATTAAAAAATTCATTAATAATTCACGAGGAACAGAGACGGATTTTCAAATTTTTGTTCGGGGGTGAGTGGATAAATATATACCTGGGGGGGTGTGTGCTGCTGCTTGCTTTCGCCGGGGCCTGGTGGCAACGCCAAGGAAAGGCCAAGGAAAAAGTTTAACAAAATTTGTTTTCTACGCCTGCATGGCGAGATCTGAGACCATAATATTGGTAATTTTACAAATTTAGTAGTAAGAATAATCAAATATGAAACTATCAAATCAAAAAATATATAATTTGCGGGGGTTCAAAAACTTCCGGGGGCGGTGCCAAATGCCTCTGGGGAGGTACAAATCAATTTCTGGGGGGTGCTCCCCCCGCAACCCCCGTGCTTGACGAGGAAAATACAAAAGAAATGAATGTTTAATCAATGCTTGTAAATCGGATAAAGATTTGTCCTGATTTACATAAACTTCAGCTTTGATTTTCTCGGCTTAGACAATGTTTATTTTTAAAATTACTTCGCCAATGAACTCATAAGATGGGTCATTTTTTAAGTACGATAAAACATTCGCATCCGATCTGTATCTGATATACAAACTCTCGCCTTCGGCTCGAGTTTGTATATAAGATACAGATCGGCTGCTCATGTTTTATCTAGTACTTAACAGCTCTTTAAGAGTGGATGTCAGCAAAAATCGGATATTTTAGCAAATTCGCGGCAACGGTCGAGAAATCGATTCCGCCCATATTTTAACTATATATAGGCCCTAATGTAAGAAATACCACTGTGCAGTTTGCTTGGTGAAATACGGCTTAGTATTCGATAAAATCGCAGAAAATACTTTTCGAATTAAATTCGCTAATTTTGAGCCGATAATTTAGGTTAACTTCAACAACTTCTCGGGGCGAAACAAAATAACCCAGCGCTGTAGTAATCTCACGCGATGTTAATTGCTATCTTAATATGCAACAGGTAGAGTTTCAGCCATTATTGTTCGAGGTTTTGATTTTTATTGAAGTTATTTTTGGAACACATAGAAAATCTCTCTCAAAATATGTTCAAAGTAAACTAATATTTTTCCATGTGCGACGAAATTTTTTTTACTATAAAACAACCCATAATTGCCTTTAAATGGTGTATTTTGTGAATCGTTTACAATTTTCTTGGGGAAATTATTTTTCGTGATGCAGCGCATCCCCAAAGTTGTAAGAAATTTACAAATTTTGCCTGTCGGCAAGATCAATCAATTTATATATTGTGTACATATGTAGCGTTTATAAAAGCGGCTCAGTGTTTGTATTTTAAATTAAGAACAAACTGAATGTTCTACATTGTAAAAGGAACTGACTAATCACAAACTATGTTAAATTCCCTTTTTAAAATCCATCGATTGACCCATATAGTGTCTACTAGTAAGTGCATAATATTGGTGTCTATTTCTATCTATCGTCAAACTCACATTTTATACGAGTCATTTCGACAAAACGAATATTTTATGTGTTTTAAACAAACCGGACGTAATTCATTGACATTTTCAAAATTTCCTGTCCTTTTCAGCTGCTCGTCTTTTATGCTTATCATTCCGGATACGTTATCGAGGGTTTACTAATATTAGTATAAAGATGATCCTCTTTAAATAATAGAATATTCTGACGTGTTTACCTTTGACGCCATATCATTGTAATCTAGTTCAGCAACCGCAACTTTGAACCAGTTTTTCTAGCAAATCAATGTACGGTTTTTTGAATTTGCGCTTGCCAGTGCTGTCAGTAATATTAAGTTCGAATGAAGAACAAATTTCTTGTAGCATGTAAACAGAGAATTTGGAAAGTTTTCTTTGACTTGTTAATTCACAAATATTGTGCCTATCGAACATTATTGGATGCTTCAGTCCAATTGCGTCAATCAAGGAAGCTGATAATTCTTCGATTTCTTGTCCTTTTCTCTTTTCGAAATCTTTCTTATTTAAATCGTCTTCCTCGTAGTCATTGTCATCACCATCACCCCTTTCTTCACTATCTTTATCGCCCGATGTATTTTCCCTTCTTTTTTTCGCCAATCGTGAGAAAAAACTTGCAATCTGCTGCGGTGTTAAAAAGTCGCCCTTGTTAAAAAGTCGCGAGCCGTCGCTGTTTCTTGTAGATCTCATTGCTCTTGACACATCACCTGGATCGGCTTTTCGCCCTGTTTGCTCTCCAGCATCAAACACGTCAACCAGGTACTTCTTCTGAACATCGGAAAACCGCTTTCCCTTAGAGGAAATTCTCAAAGCCCAGCCCATCTGAAGTTCAGGGCCAATATCTGGCTCTGGCAACTCGACGCTCTCTGACTCCGTTGGTATCGGGTTCTTACTGGATCCTTCTTCCAGTTTTGTTGCATATAGCTTCATAGCCTTGTCATAAAGGGTTTCATGCTCTAGTACGTAGGTATGGTTGTCACAATGCAAATGTCTTTCTAGAGAAGAGTACCTGTGGAATGATTTAATGCAGCCTTGTTCAGGACAGAGAAATAATTTGCTGTACGTGTCGACTCTTTCATCATTGCTTTCGTCTTCCATTGGATCAGTATTATTTTGTTCGCGAGATTTCTTTGGTTGTTGTCTTGCTTTCACTGCGACGAATGATACTGTGTCCTCGGTTTCCTCGCTATGGATAAGTTTTGGTACCGTTGGGGGTCGACAGAAATTGGTTAAAGGAAGGACTTTGCCTGGACCATTATTGTATGCAATCCACACCGTCATGGACTCGTTGAGGTACTCTGTTGTTAATGAGACTCACACCATCCTATTCCCCTGCCATTCCCTTGACACCAGGTGGTAGAGCGCACACTGTTACTTTCACTCCTGGGATGCCTTCAAAGGACTCGATTGCTGCCTTCATTTGCTCGGGATTTTCGATATCGTTCCCTGAATTCAGGTATTTATTCATGTGATTTTTAATATGAGCTGCCTTTCGGTCGCACGCTCCCTTCCCCCTTGGGGATCGGAAAAATCGATACGTCTGATTTGAATTCCAGTTGATCTCTCTATCGTTGGCAGAGAAAGCAGAGCTAATGCAGAGTGGTAGCACCCTGCATTATCTTGACGCAGATATACGGTATGCACATCTGGTGCAATGGTTGAGAGCTGACTCAAGACGTCATGAATGATTGCAACAACAGCGCCACTATCCTGGCTACTAGACTTAAACAAGTCCAAAAAAGTAAGAACTTGGAGGTCGCCATCATCATTCTTCTTTGTTAATACCGCTATGTGCCAAGGAAGTCCCCGTTTTGCAAACCAATCTCTTTGGCTTTCGCGGTATTTGCGAGGAATGAATTTCATTGCCCAGTCTAAAACGATAAGTGCAGAATGAGAATCCAAGACTTTTAAAATGTCGTGTCGTGCTGCGTCCTGATTAATTGATCTTAAAATATGTGCTTTCCAGGATCTAATGTGTTGAGCTGCTTGTGTAGTAACGTACTCCATGTTTTCTTTCTCTTCAAGAGGGCAATTTACTTCTTCCAAAGATGCGCAAATATCAGCTAGAGTCTCAGGAAATATACTGCATCTATCACACTTTCCCTTGTGCTCATGATCACAGCTGTTAGTATAATTTTCATCATTTGGAAAACTGAGAGCATATGTTCTGCAGTGGTCCGCAACTTCAGAATTGCTAGAAATGTGAATCTAAAAAGAATATATGAATCAGATACAAAATCAACTATTCTAGAATGATTCTTACATGCGCGAATCTACAAAAAATACAATAAGCTTTCACTTGTTTATACCTTGTAGTCTCCTTTTAAGTAACGTTTAGCATCTTTGAGTTTTTGGTTGGTTTGTTTGGCCCATGCCAAATCCTTGCCATAACGATCTCCAAGCATGTCAACGACGTTCTCTAGATCATCAAAGGCCTGACCACCCATTGCTGATATATAATCGAGGCCTTGCAACGACGTACGTGCGGAAGCAGAACAGACTTTAAGAACCCTGCGCAATGTACTGCGGCTCATCGTTTGGAAGCTCACCTCTTTGCAATATCCTTCGTACTGTTGGATACATTGTTCTGGTATAAGATTGCGCACAACGTTGGGAATCTTTATTTCTCTGTGAGTGGACAGTTTTAGTGTTTTTTTCTCCGAATGGTAAGTCTTGTATGATATGCGAGCTTGTAATAAAAGTAACAAAATGGTCGATTTTTTCCGGCTGAATGTAAACTCTCGTATTCTTTGAATGGGGGAGTTTCGCGCCCCTACCGTGAAGCAACAGATGATGTTTTGCAATATTGAAACGATATCTGGTCAAGGTTGGTATCCATTTTTGCAGTTCTTCGAAGGTGATCTTATCAACCATTATAGACAATATCTGTCTACGCGTGCTCCAATGGCTTGTGTTATTATAACACTCTGTTAACTCATTCTCATCCGGTCGAAAAGTAGCAATTTCGAGTGGTGTTGTTTCAAACGCTTATATCTCTCAAATTATACATCGCACGGAAACAGAAATTGCATCGTTCGAAAGAGGAGGACTTCTGCTTTCCAACGATACCAATTTCAATTTCATCCGGAGCTTGGTTAACGATTTACTCGCATAAATTTGCATAAATTATGATATAAAAAAATGTTGCAATTATGCATAAATGTATTTAACGGTTCAAATTTCAAATATGTCAAAAAATTTTATGAATATGACTGAAAGACACGGTTATGATCTACAAGTACCCGAAGTTTCATGCATGTAGCATAAATAGAAATATTTTTATTGAATTTTTATATAAACTAGGTAATGGAGTAAAATTTACATTTTGTGCTCACATGAAACAAATACCTTTATCAAAGGTCCTTTTTTATCGCTGCAACATGTTATCAATACAAATTTCCAATATTTCTTACTCTCCAAAGATAGTATGGCACCAAAATAAGTCTGTGATACCACAGAAGAACACTTAAATCATGATTAGCAAAATGTCTTTATTTCTACAATTACTACATACATTCTTAGATAATCATTACACCATTGACTTTAGTTATTAGTGGCATAACCAGCCTCAAAATTTGGTCATGCTATTCAAATTTGAAATAATCACTACTCATTTGTTTAGAAGTTGATTGTTTTCACAATCTAGAACATGAAAATATTTGCAAATAGCAAGACCAAGTGTTGTTGGGCTGGCATCATCATAATTAGTAGTTATAATGGCAGTAATGTTTGCTAAAGCAGTAATGTTTGCCAAAGCACATAATTGGATTATGTGGTGAAAATATTTCCTTTATATTGTACTACAAAAGACCTAAGACTGTAACCAAACTGATATCAGATCACCGCGTCATACCCAAATCTGTTGCGATGAATATCTGGACTTCTTCCTGTATAAATTTCAAAGTCGCAATATAACCATTAGGATTGTCTGCAGCAACCCACAGATTTATTTCCCACATAGTAGGTCATCTAGCTTTCATGAACTGCCTAACCCCCAACCTATTTCTTGATTTGACAGTGTGTTTGTCTGCAACAACAATATTCTGTGACGGCTGGTACAGTTGTTGATGCAGTTTATTGCTGTAGTCTTTAGTACAGGATCTACCATATTCACAAACGCCATAAGCGCTTTGTACCTAACCCGAGAAATTATGTCTATTGCCCACACACCATGATATAAGGTTTTTACACTCCAATAATTTTCAATCTCACTGTCGACCTTTAGCAAACCTGCATATTATACTAAAAGGCAATCAACCTCTCAAGGTTGGTGGACTGCAAGACCCTTTTTTATTAGTATATGGGGATAACTTTTGAGTTATATTTTGTATGTGGGCATATGTATTGGTATGGCCAGGAAACTACCTCCTGAAGCATTCCCTTAGTAAAAAAGAGTCCAATGAACTCAAGCTCACAGTTCATTGAGCTGAATGAACTCAAGCTCACAGTTGATCGAAATGGATCCCGGACATGTCAGTGAGGAGCAAAATCTGGGAGAACATTCCTGGCGTCAGGATCATCATATCCGTCATGTACTATGGGGCCTAGTGGGGATGCTAGACAGGGAGCTTTCGAAACCTTAGGTCCTAATGGCTGGGCTTCCCTCTACCTCTACTCATCCCCCTACCTTCCGTCTGGGTTGGTGAGTGGGGTTCTCATGACTCATCAGAACTCTACTTCCCTGAGGCTATGAAACAGGAACACCAGATAGGAACAGGATCAATATATTCATCAGTGCGAATAAAAACTTTTATAGACATGGTGCCACTTAAAATTATAATAAGAGCCAACTAGTAAGATATAAGTATGAATACTTGGCTATTATGTATGTAACAAACAACCAAACATGTGCTCAAGGCTCATTTTACTTCGCCTAAGAATCAGAGATTTTTATGCCTAAAACACCATAAATTTTCGTCAACAATATAAATAAATACCATTTATATTTGTCAATTTCAGTATGAAACGATTATTTCAACACAAAAAAGCGATATGAGGACATACTTGGTCGTACTAGTGAAGCTATACTAAATACAAATAAATTTACAACACCATGGCAACGGCAAAACATTGAAATAGAAATTGTCTAGAAATGATACAAATACTTGCCTTGAAACTCCAGACACGACTCCCAATGCCAGGTTGAGATAGTTGTCGTCATACGAAGACATTCCATCATTACTAGCACTATCAGTTTGCAAAATAAAGCCAAAAACGTCTTCAGAATGCGATTCAAACAAAACTACAACACAATACATTTCAACGCTCGTGCGTTCCCGTGCGCGATGATCAGGAAAATTGCTCTAAAAGATTTGTTTTTCTGCCTAAGCCAATCAAAATCCGTATCTAGAGTAAACAAACACTCCGGAAGTGATTCCTGCAGTCTTTTACCAGGAAACTGTAATGCTTTACCAAGAATTTGGCGTCCGAAGTTGGCCGAACACTTTCCGATCACGAGAATTGCCATAATAGGCTTAGATTATTTCGCAATTTCCCGAGACTGCTCCGAGCTATAGAATGGAAGATGGCGATTCTTTTGGTATATTTGTTATCATTATACGTTGAAAAGAAGCAAAAAGACGAGCATTTGAATCAGGCGGAACATTCAAAATGCAACAGCAAAATTGATGTGTCATTTGCATAAATTTCACCGCATTGATCATTTCAAGGTAAGAAATTCGCTTGAAATTGAGCGAGAAACAATAAAACTATGTGAATATTTCTGAATATATAGTATCGATCAAGCGGAATTTTTTGGTGGTATTTTCGTATGTCTACTGCAAATACTCGCGAAGTTCTTTAATATTTAT